GGAAAGACACAACCAACAATGGAAAAACTATTTGAACAAATAATAAAAGAAAATTTCCCCAATCTGGCAAAGGAAACAGACTTCCAAGAAATCCAAGAAGCCCAGAGAGTACCAAAAAAGTTGGACTCAAGAAGAAACACACCAAGGCATATCATAATTACATTAGCCAAAATTAAAATGAAGGAAAGAATCCTGGAAGCAGCAAGAGGTAAGGGGACAATCACCTACAAAGGAGTCCCCATCAGGCTGTCAGCAGATTTCTCAAAAGAGACCTTACAGGCAAGAAGGGGCTGGAAAGAAATATTCCAAGTCATGAAATCTAAAGACCTACAACCAAGATTGCTCTACCCAGCAAAACTTTCATTTAGAACGGAAGGACAGATAAGGTGCTTCTCAGATAAGACCAAATTCAAGGAGCTCATCATCACCAAGCCCTTATTATATGAAATGTTAAAGGGACTTATCTAAGAAAAAGAAGTTAAAGAAACATGAACAGTGAAAGGACAACAAACTCACAGTTATTAACAACCACACCTAAAACGAAAGCAAACTAAAAGGACAGCTAGATCAGGAGTGGAAACATAGAAATGAAGATCTCAAGGAGGGTTAGCAACAGGGGGAGTGGGAGGAGGAGACGGGGGGAGAAGGTACAGAAAACAAGTAGCATAGACAGTAGATAGAAAATAGATGGGGGGGGCAAGAATAGTATGGGAAATATAGAACCTAAAGGACTTGAGACGCATGGACATAAACTAAAGGGGGGGTAATGGTGGGGTTGGGGGGGCAGGGTGGAGGGGAATGAAGGGGGGAATAGAACAACTGTAACAGCATAATTAATTCAAAAAAAATAAATAAATTTATTTAAAAAAAAAAAAGAACTCATATAGTTAACGAAATGGCTATAGAGAGAACCTACCTCAACATAACAAAGGCCACATATGACAAGCCCACAGCTGACATCATACTCAACAATAAAAAGCTGAAAGCTTTTCCTCTGAGATCAAGAACAAGACAGGGATACACACTCTCACTGCTTCTACACAACAAAGTACGGAAGTCCTCGCCACAGCAGTTAGGATGAAAAGGTGGGGCAAGAGGCATACCAATTGGAGAGAAAGAAGCAAACGTGTCTGTTTGCAGTTGACACATTATTATACATAGAAAAGCTGAAAGACTCCCATAAAAAAAAGGTTAGATCTAATAAATGAACTCAGCAAAGTTGTAAGACACAAAATCAATATATAGAAATCTGCTGCATTTTTATACACTAGTAACTATCAGAAAAACAAATTAAGAAAACAATCCAACTTACAATTGCTTCAAAAATAATACCTAGGAATAAATTAAACCAAATAAGTAAAAACTGTAAAATGCTGACTAAACAAATTAAATATACAAATAAATGGGAAGATATTCTGTGCTCATGAATTGGAAGAATATAGTTTAAATATCCACACTGCAATAAGCAATCTACAGATTTGGTGCAGGCCCTATCAAAGTTCCAGTGTCATTTTTCACAGAAATAGAACAATCCTAAAATTTGTATGGAACCACAGAACACCCAAAAATAACCAAAACAATCTTAACAAAGAACAAAGTTGGAGGCATAATGCTCCCTAATTTCAAACAATATTACAAAATTATAGTAATCAAAACATTATAGCACTGGCATAAAAACTGAACCAAAAAAAACAATAAAAAAAGAGCGTCCAGAAATAAATCCATGCATTATGGTCAATAAATTTACAACAAAGGAAGCCACAATATACAACGGGGTAAAAGGCAGTCTCCTCAATCAATGGTGTTGGGAAAACTGGACCATCACATACAAAAGAATAAAGTTCAACCACTATCTGACACCGTATACAATAATTAACTCAAAATGGATTAGACTTGAACCTAAGACTTAAAACCATAAAACTTCTAGACGAACACACAGGTAGCAATCCTTGTGATGGGAGTCGCGGCAATGACTGGATTTGACACCAAAAGCAAAGGCAACAAAGGCAAAAGCAAACATGTGGGACTCCATCCAACTAAAAAGCTTCTGCACGGCAAAGGAAACAATCGACAAAATGGAAATGCGATCTGATGAATGGGAGAAGATATTTGCCAATCATGTAGGTGATAAGAGGCTAATATCCAAAATATATAAAGAACTCATACAACTTAATAGCAAAAAACAAATAACCCCATTAAAAATTGAACAGAGAATCTAAATAGACATTTTCCCAAAGACATACAGATGACAAACAGGTCCATGTGCAAATCAAAACCACAGAGAGTATTATTTTAATTTTTGAAAGCTTTTAATAAGTTTGAATTACTTTCAAATTAAAAGTTAATTTAAAAAAAATTAAAATTAAAGAGGAATGGTCCTGGCTCGTGTGGCTCAGTAGATTGAGTGCCAGCCTATGAACCAAAGAGTCACTGGTTCGATTCCCTGTCAGGCCACATGCCTGGGTTGCAGGCCAGGCCCCCAGTAGGGGGTATACAAGAGGCAACCACACATTTATGTCTCCCCCTCTTTCCCCCTCCCTTCCCTTTCTCTCAAAATAAATAAATAAAATCTTTTTTAAAAAATATAAGAGGAATGATGTCTTTGTTGTAACACTAAGCACGACTGGGTTGGAATTCTTATAGGGGGCATGAATCCATAAACATACCAAAAATTGTTCCATATATACATGTTCAATAATCTTCCATATGCGTATGATACATATAGAATGATATGATAAAATAAAAATATATTTCAATGTGATTAAAAATGTAAGTAGCCTAGGCCAGTGTGGCTTGGTTGGAGCGTCACGCCATACACCAAAATGGGTTCGATTCCCAGTCAGGGCACATATCTTGGTTGCAGTTTGATCCTCAGGCAGGGAGTGTGAGGGAGGCAACTGACTGGTGTCTCTCTCCCCCCACCCCCTTACTCTCTAAAAGAGATGAAAAAAGGCCCTTGGGTGAGAATAAAAAATAAATAAAAATGTAACTAAATTCGTGGAATCTTTTGAATATCACATGTTTTTCTCAAGAAATTGGTAAGAAAAATTATTTTGTGAGGATAAGAAAATTTGCCTTTATGTGTCCCCTTACTTAAAGAAATAGGGAACTTCTTACTATTTGCAGTGATGCTTCTCAGAACCATTACAAAATGCCAACCAGAGGCTTCCAGTACAGAACATTGATTCAAGTTTGGTAAAGATAAATGAAAGCACTGTGTGCAGCTTTAAACACAAAGAAACACTGCGTTATCAACAGACAAGGGAGACATGGTTTAACAGCAGACAATAAAGTGTGCGGGAGAGAAGACAGAGCTTTTAGATGTGCACAAACGTCATACATGCCCACAGTGGGATATGGCTGCCAAGAACCTAATACAATATTAAGCAGCATTAATTAAAATATTTAGGAAGATAGTCCAACTCTGTAGTAATCAGAGCAATATGAAGTAACGTGTTCAATTCTGGGTCTCAGGACTCCTCCTCACAGGCCTAATGGAATAATTGCTATCAGACTAACCCTCCTGTGAAGAAAAGCTGTGAAACCCGAATAAAATACAGACAGCAACTGTTGAAGTACACTGGAGATCAACCGAGACGGGCAGCGCCGAGAGGCCAGCATTCTGTACGGAGGGAAGCACACGATGAGCCTACCACACACCTTTACTTCTTCCCCGAGGCATCTGCAGATTTCCCACAAGGGGAGTAAAAAACAATCAGAAAGCAGCCACTTTGGATAGAAACCAGGAGTCTTTTAGTTGAGGAAATACACAGAAGACAGCATTTGTGGCTGCCACATTAGGAAGAGAAAGGAAAGGAAGGAAAGGAAGGAAAAAATCCCAGAAGGAGAAGCATACACTCTACTCAAAACTCTGGCCGACCCCTGCATCAGACATGTGCAAGTTGGCCTCTAAGCCACACGGCTAGGACTAAAAGAGAAGTCAGCGTTTGCAGTTCTGCCAACTTAACTGCCTGCTAAAACAAAAAAATTAATATCCTTATAGGAATATAACAAATGCACGATCTCCACACATGCTATTCAATGTTTATAATCCAAAAGTACTAGGCCAGTGACTCTCAAAATATGGTCTGCGCATTTCTGGGAGCCCCAAGACACTTTCAGGGGTCTGCAAGATCAAGACTGTTTCACATTAACACTAAACTGTTATTTGCCCATTTCTCTCATCCTATCACAACTGTGTAGCAGAGTCCCCAGTGGCTGCATGACTTTTGAGGAAATCAGCACTCTGATAACTACTAGAATGTACCTATATTTTTGTGTTTTCCAAAAACATTTAAGGTAGCAGGTTTTAATTAGAAACATGAATGTTTGTAGAGATTAGTTTATTCTCAGTATAATAGTGGTACTCTTACCGTTACAACCGTTATGTCTCTAACTTCATTATCATCCTATAAATTGATGTCTAAAATCCCAACGATTTCCTCGTACCCACAAGGAAACACAGTATTTATTGTCTTGTATGGCAATAACAGTTAAATTTTGTTTCAAAATTAATCTAAGCTTATTAGTTTACATTTTGCAAATGTTTGGACTGAAATACAGAAGACTCAGTTTTGCAACCCACAGCTGCAATAGGCTGTATGGTAAATAAATGTCATGTGAACTTATGAAGTCCATTCAACAATGAAATGCTGCTTTTACCAGTTTTATATTTGGTGTTGTAATATGAATGTCACAAATGTTTCCAGCGCTTTAAAAAATATGAAAAACAACAGTGGATTTAAAAACAGGTAAGCCTGTCACTGAGACGGGGAAATCAGAGGCCTTGTGAAAAGAGCACATTCCTGCGGAGACGGCTCGCTGCCGAAGTGCACAGGGCAGGTTTACAGCTGTCTGTATGGGAAATAATACAGGAAGTAACGAACAATAATATAAGGATGAATTCCGTGTTTCACATACTCACACTGATAAACACTTTTGCCCACCCCTGCTCCTTTCCCCGTATAACTCTGTATAGCGTATTTTACTGTAGTACTTACTGGTGCTACTATTTTTCCTGTCTGTCCAACCTGCATGTCATTGGGAACAAAACCAGCATCAACAGCAGCACGAGAAGCACCAACTAAAAGGGGAAGAAAAATGTTTCCTTTTTAAAACCTTTTGTCCTTTTTTAAGTCAGCTGGTTCGGATATTCAATGATAATTGTAAAAAAAAAAAAGACACTGATACAGTACAGTTAGAAATTCATTTTAGTAAGGCTTTAATCAACCCCCTTCCTTTCTGGGTCACTGTCACTTTCTCAGGTACTAGTCTTAATTCTTGGAGATTTTAACACCGTGTCATCTTAGTTTCATGAACAACTCTCCTCCAGCTGTCTTGTCCTTCACATGACCTCAGCCACACCCATGACCACATCCGACCTTTCCGTTACCAATGCCCCTCGATAACTCCCATGTCCAATGTCTCCTTGTGACTCCCTCTTTCTAGGTGACTGCCTTCTGGACCCATCTTCCCTGACCTATTGGCAGTAGTGGACATGGTTGATCACTCTTTCCCTTCCCGAAACACTTCTCTTGGATTCCAAATATCAAACTCTCTCCCTGGTTTTCCTGTCTGACTTACCTTTTTGGTCTTCATTCTCCCCCACTTCTTATTCTTGCAATGTCTAGGGCTTAGTCCTGGGTCTCTTTTTTATCTACACACCACCCCTGGTGATTTCATCCAGTCTCACAGCTTCAAATACCATCTAAGTGTAAATGATTCCCAGTGAACTCCACATTCCTATACCAACTGCCTAACTAACATCTCTACTTGGGTATCTATTATCAGACATCTCAAAACTCAATATGCTCCAAACCGAACTTCTGATCCCTCCCCCTGGAAATGACATCACTTGGAGTCTTACCCATCTCAGCTAACTGCAACCCCACCCTACCAGCTGCTGGATAAAAGTGTTCTCTCATAATCTATACCCAATCTCTCAGAGATCTGAGGCAGTTTTAGTGGAGTATGAGGACAGAAACCTAATTGGAGTGCATTTAAAATACTGGTCCTAGGTAACAGTTATATGGCGGTATTCACCTTTTCATAGCTGTTGAACAGTACATCTGTGATTTGTGTGGTTTCCTGTATGTGTGTTGTTTTAATAAAAATGTGTTTAGACACACACATTTCAGTCTTTAGTTCATTTAAAAACTGGGTGCTTTGTCTTTTTATTGTCTCTGTAGGAATTCTGTTTGTAACTAAGATTTAGCAAATGCATCACATCTATCCTCACTGAGTGCTGTATCATTTACTTGGAGACTTAAGAAAAACTGTTTCAGAGAGAGACCATAAAAACCAGAGAAAGTAAAATAATTTTCAGCCTTGAGTGACAGAGATAAGAGAAATAATGAAGAAAAGTATCTCCTACAAAAAGGGAACATTTTTCTACTAAGAGAAACAACCTTACCTGCAGCATGTAGTTGATCTGCCAAATCATATAACAACTTAAAGTTCTCTCCGCTCTTCAAACCCCGACCTCATTTTTAAAAAAAGATGAAAAAAATTAGGCAAATATAAACTCCATTCTATAAATATTTTGCAACTTTGTATACCTGAGTGATCTTCGCATTACACAACTGTCCTAGTTCATGCCACCTGCACCAAGAAGCTCTTCCCGACTTCCCCAGTGATGCTCCTGTACTTCTGTAAAGCATTCAATACTGTTGTTAATTAACTAACCAGGTAACTAATTCTATAACTGGTCTTCCCCACTATAACAAAAACTAACTGCGGGATCCATATCTATCTCGGTCACTGCTATACCCACGGTATTTAGCAAAACATTGCTGAATGACAGAAGTTGTTTATTATTTGAATGGAAGTCAGTCCACTAGATTCCAACTCCCTGACAGCAAAAAGCCTTGCTTTGCCCTCTTTGCTTCTCCAGCATTTTGCAATAGGCCTGGCATAGAACCAAATGCCAGGTAACCATTTCTTGAATGAATTAAGTGATTACACAAGTCAGATATATCTTTTCAAAATACTGATTTCCTCTCAGTGACCCTTGTCAATACAAGCCTGTTTAGAAGCTTATTTTGTTTGATGTTTAGAGATTTTAAAATCATAAGACTATTAACCATGTGGCTTTCTCTTCTAACGTATTTTATTATGTTATTACAGTTGTCCCAATTTTTCCCCCTTTGTCCTCCTCCACCTGGTACCTCAACTCCCTCCAGCAATCCCCCCTAGTTCATGTCCATGGGTCATGTATGTAAGTTCTTTGGCTACTCTATTTCCTATACTGTTCTTAATGTCCTATTTTGTACCTGCCAATTAGGCTTCTTAATCCCTGCACCTTTCTGCCCCTTCTCCCCCTGCCCCCTCATACTGACAACCCTCCAAAAGATTTCCATATCTATGATTCTGTTCCTGTCCTGCAGCATGTTTGCTTATTTAGATTCAATTATTGATAGTTGTGAATTTGTTGACATTTTAAGTGTATTTTATTGACTATGCCATTATAGTTGTCCCATTTCTTTTTTCCCCCTCTGCCCTGCACTCCCCTCTGTTCAGCATTCCTAAAACCTATTTATTATGAGCAATCAGCTCATGGTCTTATGGGAGCTCCCCTGTAGATAACTAACTTCTCTTGCTGCTTTTAAGATTCTCTTTATTGTTAACCTTTGGCATTTTATTTATGATGTGTCTTGGAGTGGGCCTCTTTGCATCCATCTTGTTTGGGATTCTCTGTGCTTCCTGGACTTGCATGTCTATTTCCTTCACCAAATTAGGGAAATTTTCTTTCAGTATTTTTTCGAATAAATTTCCCAATTTCTTGCTCTTTCTCTTCACCTTCTGGCACCCCTATGATGTGAACATTGGACTTCTTAGAGTTGTCCCAGAGGCTGCTTATACTATCCTCACTTTTTTTGGATTCTTTTTTCTTCTTGTTCTGATTGGTTGTTTTTTGCTCCCGTATGTTCCAAATCATTGATTTTATTCTTGGCTTCATCCACACTACTGTTGTTTCCCTATAAATGTATCCTTTATTTCTGACTGGATCTTTTTTATGCTGTTGAGGTCCTCACTAAATTTCCTTGAGCATCTTTAGAACCAGTGTTTTGAACTCTGCATCTGACAGATTGCTTACCTCCATTTCATTTCATTCTTTTTCTGGAGTTTTGATGTGTTCTTTCATTTGGGCCATGTTTCTGTGTCTCCTCATTTTGGCAGCCTCCCTGTGTTTGTTTCTATATATTAGCTAGAGCTGCTATGACTCTGTGTCTTGGTAATGTGGCCCAATGTAGTAGGTATCCTATAGGGTCCAGCCTCCCCTATCACTTAAGCTGGGTGCTCAAGGTGTGCTCTTTGTGTGGGCTAAGTACACACTCCTCTTGTAGTTGAATTTTGGTTGCTGTTGGCAGATCAATGGGAAGGATTCACCCAGGTCAGTCAGCTGCAAGAATTAGCTATGACCACTGACCACCGACATCCACCCTCCATGGAGGATCAGCTGTGTAAGCGCAGGGTAGGGGTCCTCTAGTGTGTTCCGTAGCTGTCCACTGGGTGCACTGCCCATGGGGTTTCCCAGGTAGTACAGGGCCAACGTCAGCCCCCACCTGTGGTTTTCCCAGAGCCACCCAGCCCAAGCTATAAAGCCATCTGAAATGGCTGTTATTTGTGCTGGGCTTAGAGATTTTCAGGCAAAGCCTGTGAATCTAGGGTGGCTGCTTTTAGTGCCAGGCCTAGGGCTCACTGAGACTAGCTCTTGATTGTTCAAGAGGATTTAGGAAGTTGTGCAGCATTAGCCAACGCCAGTCGTTCACATGGAAATATAGCTTGGGTGGGCCTGTAAATTGGATGGGAATCTCTGGGGATTTCCAAGGTGAGTCAAACAGTATTAGCCAGGTTAATGGAGTCTCAGATATGGTACTAGCTTGCCAGCTCTGTGGGGTAGAGGGTTTTGAGAAGGGACAATGGCCTCTGCTCACCTTAATGCTAGACACTTCAGTTTTTTCCAATATGCCCCTGGTGCCTTACAAGCTTCTACCCAGGTCCTGGAGCTCAGAGGGAATGAGTCCGAGGAGGGGAGTCCACATGTGGGTTCTTTAGGGTAACTGTTTGGGGCCCCAGAAGTTTCTTCCAGCAAACCAATCCCTGTTGGTTTTTGCAACCAGAAGTTGTGGGGACTTACCTTCTTGGCATTGAAACCCTGGGTGGGGGCAGGGGGAGGGGGGAAAGTGGGGTGGGGCTGGTGTGTGCCTGGGACTCCTCTCTCCCAAGATATCCCTCCCAAATTTTCATCCGCCCTGCATGGATATAGGACCAGCCTGTTCCACGTCTTTGCCCCTCCTACCAGTCTGGATGGATATGGTTTCCTTAATTTGATAGTTGTCAGACTTTCATCCAACTCAATTTCTGACAGTTCTGAGTGAATGTTGTTCTATATTTTAGTTGTAATTTTGAAGTGGTCGTGCAAGGAGGTGAGCCATGTCTGCCTATGCTGCCATCCTGGCTGGAAATCTAGTAATTTTTGCTGTAGTTGTACAAGGAGAAGTGTATTTACCTACGTCTCCATCTTGATCGGAAAGACAGGATTAAATGACTTCATGTGTTGTTCTTAAAAAGCATTATATACCAAAAAAAGTAAGTCTCATGCAATATTAACAGCTTTGACATTAAATGTGAAGAAATTTTCAAAGAGTTACTCAGAAAGACTGATGTGCACACACTGCAAGTTCTTCACAGTTGTGTGAAGGGCAGGAATCACACAACATGGTCCTGACTTTCCCATCAATTTTTCTGTGACTCAGAGCCAACCGTACTCTTCAGAATAACATGGAAGTCAGTCAATAAAACAAGTCAATATACCAAGTGGCAAAGCTGATGAAATTTATACAGTGCTCCCCCTGGTGCTAGGCACACAGCTTTGCAACAGAAAGCCCAAGTTGTGTGTGAAGCTAATGATTTCATATTCCTCATTGGTAAGTGGGAATATTTGCAACTTAGGTACTCTTTATGTTTGAAAAAAAATCTGTACTCCTATAAAATAAATATTAATAAAATCCCAGTACTTTAGGTTGACATCATCTTTTAAATTAATCCATTATAAATTTTACTCACCACCGGATACCACCACTTTGGCACCAGTTAGCTCTGGTCGATCGCTTTTGGTTAATTTCTGGTCAAGCCACTCTGATATCCCCGCTGGGGAAGTAGCTGATGCTACAAACATGACATACATAACAAAATAATGACTATGAATTCAAGTTCTAAAATAATACCAATCAATTTTAAGAGACATACACAAAGAATTAATTCCATGAAATTTAAGTTTGTTAGTTTACTGTAAATTTGTGTTCCCACTTTCATTCTTCTCGATTTTTTTGAAAGACTGAAGGGACTAGAGTTCAGCTGTCACCTCATCAGCTGTATGACTTTTGAAAAGTCATTTCACTGCGTTTACCTGTAAAACTGGAATAACCCCGTCTGCCTCTGCAGTTCAAACAAGATACTGTGTGTGTTGGGGTGGGACGCTAGTGGGTGGAGGTGGAAGAGGGTATAATGTGGGATAAATGAAAATGGAAAAAGACACCATAAACTATTAAAAATATATTTTAAAGTGTATATGTTAAAGTGTAACACTCTCTATACATTTACTATTACCTTCTTTCACAATACTAAATTTCCTGAGTACCATACCAGGAAGCAGTGAGAGAGGGCAAAAAATCTTAATACCAACACAGTACATTAATCCTAATGGACCCTCTCGTTCTCCCACCCTTTGTTCTCCCAAAGAGACTATCCTGGTGGTACAAAAAATATACATAAAAAGACTTTATAAATATTTCTTAATTTTGTATAAGATTAGGAATATCATTTACATTGAGCTCTCAAGTGCTCTGCATCAGAAATCAGATCATCTCTCAACTAACCTGTGAACTGAAAGCAAGAAACAAACACAAATACAACTGCAAATGAACACTCACCCTTTTCTGAACTGGCACTACCTCCACTTGTTGCTGCAGCTTCAAAAGCTGTTCCTCGGACAGAAAACACCTTCACTTTTTCATCACACTTCACTGTACACAAAGCATTTCCTGAAATACACAGTTTATTAAAAAACAACAACAACAAAACCATATACACACACAACCAGGGAAGATAATAAAGAAATATTCCTTTGGTTCAGAATTTACTTTGCAAAAACAAGACAGAAATGACCACAGGCCAGCTGTCTCCTCCCTCTACAAAACATAGGGAAAAAAGACCATAACACTGAAGAAACATATCAGTACATATTTGTTTAACCTTGATGTCTTTAAAAGTAAAACAAGTGCTGACCTGCCCAGAAACAAGTAACTGGACTAGGCAGCCACACTAATATGGCACACTATTCCTAAAAGGAATATAAAGAAAAGCTTCCCTCTTCAAAAATAACACAATCAGTAACTCAACAGAATGAGCTGCAACAACTTGAGGATGAAGTTACTATGCATGCCAAGGAAGGGAAAGTGAAAACATGGTAGGGCATAAAGAACAAGAAGTATGATGTGCCGAGATCTTTAAAGGTTTTGAGACTTTTTAAAAAATTTTAATTAATTTATTTTTAAAATGTATATTCTATTTGATATCAGGGAAACTTTTACAAATTTCATAACAATGTGAATGAACTTTTTTAACTGTAGATTTTTCTCTTCATTTATTAAATTTTTTTTAAAAATTTTATTTAGTTATTTTTCAAGTACAGTTTTCTATTTCTCCTATCCCAGCCCACCCTGTCCCGTGCTCCCCACCTCCCTCCCATTTCCACCCCCCTTAATTCTTGTCCCTGTGTCCTTCATACTTGTTCCTCAAAATCCCTCCCCTTCTTTCCCCTTAAATTCCCTTCCCTCTCCCCTCTGGTCACTGTCCCCTTGTTCTCTATTTCAGTGTCTTTGTTTTTATTCTGCTTGCTTGTTTGTTTTGTTGTTTAGCTTCCTGTTAAAGGTGAGATCATTGAGACATTTTTATGAATTAGCAATCACATTAAGAATGACCTAAACTATGACCAAATATTTTTCCCTCAAACACTACTGAAAATGAAAGCTCTAATTTGAGGGTGACCATTTATCTTGAAACACACTTCACTCAGAAAGAATTCACTGCTTTCTCCAGCCCCACCAGAGACCAGTGTTGCTCAGCAAAAGACCAAACCACTAGAGACACATAGAAATGAATTTCTTAATGCAGATGGAAATGGAAAGAAGCAGCAAAGATAACTGAGAATGCTATTTTTTTGAGGGAAAGTTTTGCTTTTCCAGGTGCCGCTTATAAAATATAGTGAATAGTGAATCGAGTTTTTATTGATCACTGGAAAAATCTCATCCATAGGCTGACTAGGAAAAACTGTGCCGTGGATCTATCAAGGAGAATGTCCTGCCATGCTCTAAAAGCAAGTGTACATGGCTTTAAAAAAATCCTAACTTCGAGATTAATTTCTGCTTTTAAAATTTATGAAAATATAACATTAATTATTTTCCTTGGGTACTCACCTGCATAAATAGTTCTCACAAATGTGTCAGGTGACTTGATTGCAATTATGTCAGAAATTGGGGCGACATCAAGTTTGGCTGCTATTCTGGGCAAAAGGTTCTAAAAGTAAAGTAAGTATAAGTTACACACATATATATGCTAACGAATGGCTATAAACTACCAGCAGTAACATTCTCTAAATGCAAATCCTGTCAAAATTTTAATTCAAATATTTTATATTTCACATACATCTTTAGACACTACAACTTCAAGCACAACTTTCTAGATAGTATTTGAGATTAAATAGTCTATCATTACTCTAAATACAGTAAGAGTTTATGAGTTTTACACTAATCAACTACCTTAACTCAGTATGTTGAATTATGAGATGATATTTTCTTTAATTAATATCATTTACAAAGCATGACAGCTATACAATTTAGATAGAAAAACATTTAAAAGAATAGTAAAATTCTCAAATACTAAAAATATACTTGATTTCAGAAAAAGCACACATTTTCACCTTTTAAATAATTACTATTGCATTTAAAAAAACCTAAATGTCAATCAACAGGGAAAGGATTATAAATCATCCATATAATGGAATCTTATACAATTATAAAAATAAAAGGCTGAATCACAGCCTGCTTGAATCACAGCCTGGTAGGTAAAAAGAAAAGCAACAAAAATTAATGTGTTTTTCCTTGTACACACATAACATCTCTGGAAGGGATATAGCTGATGACTTTGCTCTCACTAGCAGGGACCACTGGGAAAGCCACACCATCCCAGGTCTCAGTTATCTCACCTCAGGGTGTGAGGCAGGGAACCCCTATGGCTCTAATCTAAAATTCTAAGACTCTAGGGCTCTCACACAGAGAAGGCTGGTTAGTGAAAACTGAATATCCGTACTTTCTAGACTCGAAGATTCTCTTGGATGAAACAGTAAAGCTGAATTCTGCACAGCTTTCTCCACAGAGCTTACTCCATGGCATCTCCTGAACTCCACTAGATGATACCACCTCTAGTGGTTTTAGCCCCAACTCCTCTCTATCTCTCAGACTTCTCCCAGGAGTATCTTCTAATTACTCCTTTATTCTGCATCCTTCCGCATGCATGTATAATTACACTATTTAAATGGCAATAACATGTACCATTTTTAAAAAAGATTTTATTTATTTATCTTTAGAGGGGAAGGGAAGGAGAGAGGGAGGGAAACATCAATGTATGGTTGCCTTTCGTGCATCTCCTGCTGGGAACTGGCCTGCAGGGAACTGGCCTGCAACCCAGGCATGTGCCCTGACTGGGAATCGAACTGCGATTGTCTGGTTCACAGGCCCGCGCTCAATCCACTAAACTACACCAGCCAGGGCAAAATGTACCATTTTAAAATAATTCGTAATACACATACTATATGGCCCTCAACTAAATTTTTAAGCACCCCAAGGGCAAAGGTTTTTATACCCTCTATTTCTCTGTGTCCCTGATCCATATCTGCTAAGAGGTTCCCTATAACCTGATGCTAACAAGTGTTGACAGCCTGAGTCAAGTTTCCTGTCATATTTCCAACAGGAAAGATTTTCTAGTTTTCAGTTTGTTTCTTACATTATACAGTAACCTTCTTTCAACCAAGGTAGAAGAGCTACTGAAAAGTACTGTGGTTTATAAAACTACAATTAAAAAACATTGAGATATCGCAGAAAATAAAGGGTTTGAATTTATGTGACACAGAAAAAAGAAGTTCTAAGAGGGAAGTTCATAGCATATAGGCCTGCATCAAGAAACAAAAATAAATAAATAAAATAAACAATCTAACTTTACACCTAAAGGAACAAGAAAATGAAGAACAAAGCACAAAGTGAGAAGAAAAGATAATAATAAAGATATGAACAGAAATAAATGAAATTGAGACTAAGAAAATAAAAGAGATCAATGAAACCAAGGGCTGATTCTTTGAAAAGATAAAACTGACCAAACTTTAACCAAACTCATCAAGAAAAAAGGAGTGCAAACCCAAATAAATGAAATCTTAAAAGAAAAGTGACAATTGATATCAAAGAAATACAAAGAAACACTAAAGAATACTACAGAAAATTATATGCAAACAAATTTGACAATCTAGAAGAAATGGTTAAGCTATACAACCTTCCAAAACCAAACCAGTAAGAAATGGAAACTCTAAATAGACTGATTACTAGCAATGAAACTGAAGCAGTGATCAGAAAACTGCCCATGTATAGAAAGTCCAGGACTACGCAGCTTCGCTGGTGAATTCTACCAGGCATTTAAAGAAGTTTCAATACCTGTCCTTAAACAATTCAAAAACAAACAAAACAAAGAAGAATGAAAGCTTCCAAACTCATTCCAGCAAGCCAGCATCACTGATACCAAAACCAGACAAAGACATTACAAAAATATAAAATTTCAAGCCAATCTCCTTGATAAACACAGATGTAATAATTCTCAAAATACTAGCAAACAAGATTCAACAATACATTAAATGATCAGTGAGGTCAGACAGAGAAAGATAAATACCGTATGATTTCACTTACATGTACAATCTAAAAAGCAAATGAATAAATAAAACAGAAAGAGACCCACAGATACAGAGTGGGGTGTTGATGTTTTGCAAAGGGGAAGGGAATGAGGGATGGGTAAAAAGGAAAAAAAGACTAAATTTTTTTAAATGTCAGCCATTTTTTAAGACAGTAAACATAGTTCTAATTTTGTAAATAAGAGGTTTAGAAGACATCTGCTTTTAAAACAAACCAAATCTGTCAGTATATAAAGCCAGCTTCAGTAACCCTTCCTGAACCATTTTTTAGCTGTTCAGGAAATACTACTGCAACACTGCTGCCCAGCGGAGCAGATTCTCTTACAAATGTTAGGTTACGCAGTCTGTGTCTCTTTTACAAGTTTTAGAACTTTCTAAATTGCTTGAAATTTACTATCTTTTGTACTCCCATTATCTCTTGTTTTATTTTAGCACACCTTGAAAAACATTTACGACAGTGCTTAAAGGCATATGTTTTTCCAGGTCTGATCTTCCATCTAAATGTCCTGAGAGGGTGGATAGTAAACAGACGTCTCTCTCCACTCTTTGACAGGCTCGACCACATAATTTCAGGGAAGGAGAAACAGTAACTGTCAAGAGTGTTCTTTTCATGCACAAAAAGATGACAGATTTTCAAATTCCAGAATATGAATATAAAAATGTATCTCAAAACCATCGCTGGTGAAGGACTATTATTATAGAGCCAATTGTGTGGCTTCATCTGATGAACTGTCTCATTCCAAACACATTCAGAGGCTGCAGCACCAGCTACTCTTATATGCCCCTTGTTCTCAGAACTCCCATGTCACCGCACAGTAGTCAAGGCCTGCATATTAAAATCTAACTAATTGGATGCAACACATACTCTTTCTAACAATCTTTAGGTGAACCATCATCACAGAAACTCAAGACTGCTGAAATTGCTTAAATCATCCCACAAAGAATCAAAACTCTCAGAGATGGAGTGGTCCACAAAGATCTTTTAGTTTGGGGCTCATCTGTAACATCCTAAAGGATGGTATTTGGATGTCAGCTTCTGCCCTAATCATCCCCAGGGAAAGGGAAACCTACCACAGAGAAAAGCCATTCCATTTTTTAACATCTCTGGTTGGTAGACCTTAGACATCACTTGGTCAAACTGCATCATTTAACATATGTAAGAAACAGAATTCAGGAAGGTAAATGACTAACCCAAGGTCATGTAAGTGTGTGGAACCACCTTACTTACCGATTACTAAATCCCGTATGAAAACTGAAAACCTTAGGATAGTCTGTCTGCAATGTGACAACCCAATTAAAGAACAATTATTTATTAAATTCATATGTTTACATTGTAAGATAAAAATTGTTATTGCCTAGAAATTCTATTAACCTGAGAAGAAAAATTTTAATGAGTTCAAGTTTATAATTCTAAAGGTTAAAAAAAACCCAGAGCAATGTTGGGTGACTGGGCAAGGCCCCTACACGGTTCATGTCTAGAAGTTAATGCTGTACCACAGATAAATGTTCGCAGACACTACTCATTTTGCAAGTAAAGAGGCCATTGCATGGGGAGCTCACTGTTAGTGCTACTCAACATGGTTAGCTGATGAAAGAGCTTATCTCTTTCTACCCAAACTCATATTGAAAATTAACTAAACAGAACTATAAATGAAAAAGAGAAAAAATCATTATCAAGACAATTCAAATGAAAAATTAAAATGACCGAAAACTATAAATAAACATAATTCACTATCAACTGGAGAAATGCAAAATTAAAAAATATACAATATAGGGGCAATGTTAAAATGCATAGCACCAAGTTTTGGCAAGGTACTCTCACACGTGCCTGGAGTGCAAATATATCCTTTTAAGAGAGCAATTTAACAACGTACACCCAAAGTTTACAAGCACAGAGTCTTTGACCAGGCTATTTCACTTGCAGAACTCTATTCAGGGGGAGAAGGGTAGCTGGAGGTGGAAGAGCACATAATGGGGGATAAATGGTAATGGGAAAAAATACAATACAAAAATAAATTAAATAAATAAGAAAATATCAGTGCATGTACAAAAAGATGCCATGTACTGGGATGTTTCCTTGCAGCAAAGTTTATACATGAAAAACATCAGAAACAACCTAACTATCCATCCTTGTCTAAATATGGAATATTATTAACCTTAAAAAAAAGACAGCCACATTATAAGCAAATATTTTCAAGATATACTCTTAGTTAAAAACCACTAGTTGTAAAATAATTCATGCCACGTTATGCAATTTTAGAAGTAAAAAAATTACACTTGTGTTATATTTTGAAATCCATAGAAAGAGGCCTAAAGAATGTACAACTATTAACACTTGTAAGCTGTGAAAAGGGGAGAGGAAATTGGGAATGAGGAAGGGACTTTGATACTTTGCTCTGCATACTGCTGTACTGTATGCATCATTTATAGTTAGATGTGATTGTTCACAACTGAATTTATAATCTTGAAAAGTTTATTTCTTGCAGCTTATTAACAAGAAGATAAAAGAAAAGAAAGCTAGAGTAACACCCACGGCCCCAGAGAGACCCACCAACAAAAAAGTCCTTCTCTTGCCTTTTTTTAAAGAAAAACTTCATGCAGACCCTTCTTTCTCAGACATATCAAAAAGCACATAATCAGACTACAGCTTTTTTTTTAACCTTAAGAATGTCTTTGACCACCACACAACCCTTCCCAAATTCTCCAAGTAGATATTGATAGAATTTGGCCTTTCTAAATAACCACCAGCCACCTAAATAAACGATCTCTTAAGATGGGTTACTAATACAAATGACATTCAAAGACACAGAGATAGTTCAACACGTTCATAAAGAAAATAATCATTTAAAGTAGTGTCCATGATGAATTTTAAAACGTGGAAGTGGCATTCTAATAAATTACAACAAAATCTTTAAAGAACAGAGATGTCTCTGACAAAATTTGAAAACCTGGAAATCGTGTTTTCACAGAAATCATTACAAAATCTTGAAATAAGATTTAGCAAAACTACCAGACTGACTGAACACAGTCTGTTGTGCAGCTGTGGCACAACGAGACCTAACCCTTGCGAGCAGTGACAGCAGGGCCCACACCCTCATTCTGCTCACCTTTCCGAAGGCAGATGCTCCCGCACAGATGTGCGTGTAATTGAACTGCTTCTGAGATGCCAAAATCAATGGTGTCAGTTCCTCTGGGAATCAAACACATCTGATAAATACATTTCATAATATTTTCATATTCATACATTCAAGAATTATTTAGACATTCCATTTTTCCACTGGAAAAACTTACCTGGAAGAAGGCCCTTGTATGCATCATGCTCAGCCACCAGAACTTTTGCTACACCTGCTACTTTGCAGAGATCCTGCGCCACCTATGATTTTAAAAGTTCTTAGTTATCCATCTAACAGAAAGATGCAAACTAAGCCACCACTACAAATATCAACAGAGCATAAAGCCTTAATAGCCAACTGTAAAAATTGTTCTCTTCTAAAAAGTGATACTTGGAAATAAAAAAAACATTCTTGTGTCACCGAATCTGATTTAAAACCCCTGGTTTTTGAACAGAGCACCCGAAAGGACGGCAGCAGCGGCAAGGTTAACAAAGGAAATCTTATGTCAATTGATCTTACTACCAACTGACCTTAACCAAAAAAAAGTACTAATTGATAAACCAAAATCAACAAAGCTCTCTATTCAAATTTAGTTGTCAACTGCATGCTCTACCTTTCACTCAATGCAAGTGCAAGTTCATCATTTTAGAAATGGTGAAATGAGGCAATGGTTAGTTTCTCTTTGTCTCTCAAAATAACAACACAACCAACACATTTCAGACTTAGGTCTTCTTAGGGGTAAAGGACAGGAAGACCCAGCCATACTGGTCTACAGGCCCTGGCACTTTATTTGGCAATAATTAATTTCTGCTGATATTAAAATGAGCAGATCTGGCCCTGACTGGTGTGGTTCAACTGGTTGGGTGTCAGCCTTCAAAGCAAAAGGTTGCTGGTTTGATTCCTGGTCAGGGAACATGCATGGGTCGTGGGCCCAGTCTCCTGTTTGGGGGGAGGGGGCGTGCAAAAGGCAACCAATCAATGTTTCTCTTACATACTGATGTTTCTCTCCCTCTCTTTCTCCCTGCCTTCCCCTCTCTGTAAAAAATAAAAATAAATAAAATCTAAACTTAGTGAATCTGGGCAAGACTGAAATTTTGTATCAGTCCATTGTCAACCACTGCGTTCCCGCCTTTTTGTATATATTTTTTTATAATGAATGTACAGATTTTAGTTCCTTGTTTTTCCTGGGGTTGTGGGAAAGCCTTCTGACCACTCAAGATTACCTGCATAAAGGGGCAATTAGAATTCCTCTTCCAGTCTCTTTAATTGCAGCATGGCTGGCTTCTGCTTTAGCAGAAACACGGCAATCATAGTATAATCTTCTTATTGTTTACCTCCATGCTGATTCACTGATGAGCAGGCACAAAAGGCTATGCCTCCCCTCCTCAGAGGATGGTAAGGTTTCAACAATATTCACCGAGGAAAGGATACAGTGCACAAGTACCTCTGCTGAATCAAGTACTCATTGGCAGACTACTTAGTTCTAGCAAAACCATCTTTTTATTATCAGCAAAAGCTTCTGGCACTACACAGAAACATCACCTGCTGCTTATGCCAAATAGCTATATAAGACAGCATGGAACTGGCATCTGCCTATGGTATCAATGGTCTTCCCATACAGGCACTGTATAGGAAGAATAGATCGTGACATGATAATAACATTATAACTCAACAGAAGGTGATTTCGGCTCTGACTTTTCTCAAAATAGTATAAATAAAATAGCACTTCAAATATTTTTGAAGTAATGTTAGAATAATTAATTAAAACCACAGCAAATAAACAATCAAACCCAGAACTTGTCTATCTGAAAGCCAGGCAACCAGGTAATAAAAAAAGATACCATAGCCCTATCATCATATGCTGCAGTTAGTATCAATGACATAAGATTCAGTAGTTGTTAGCAGGCTTTAGGAAAATAAATCCATATAATTTAACCCCATACTTGCTAGAATACATTCTTTTAAGATATTAGTTTCAGGTAAGAAATTAGATGTGACACTAGTGTTCTGAATCTCATTATATCACATGGTCTGCATCAATGCCATCTCATAAAAACTAAATTTGTCTAAAAAGAAAAAGAAACATGCTGTCTTTGGAGTTTTTCCTTTGGGGTCCAAGCCCCCAGCCACACAGTCAGCAACTCCTGTGTGGTGTGGGTGGGAACTGGAGGCTCATGCTGCAAAAGCTTTATTGAAGCATGACCTCCACGGCACTGCAGCCCACTGGTACAGACCCTGCAGGTCGAGGGTTAGTTTACAAAGCTGTCACTGTCTTATTCCAACAACAAAAATGAAGAACTTTCCACGCAGACCATCACCTGGAAAGCAAAGTGCTAATTCCATTTGCTTCCTTACACCAATTAAACAGTAACACCCATGGAACTTTGTCCAGATTTACCACTTTCAGGAATTAAAAGCAATTAGCAAGTATATTCATCAATACAAAAAAGGAATCGACTATTAACCTTTAAGGAGACTCAAATATTATCATTCTACTTGGTACCTGATGGCACACGATGGTGCCAGTGGAACTAAATCAAGTATTCTACCTCATTTCAAAAGATAAAATGCTTAGCGAGCAAACTTAGTTTTTTTCACACATAGTAATAGTTGTGACATTGGCCATTTAATGAGGATTAGAGCCTAGTTTGGGTTACAGTCCTCGCCATAATTCTCTGTTGCCATCTTTCCCTGTCTCTTGATGGAGATTATATTTGCTATGATTGACCTTAAAAATTTCTCACCTTGTCACATTTGGTTCCAGCTATTAAGCAGGACACCTCACCTCCAAGACGTTTGGCTGCAGTGATGGTATTTAATGTAATGGGTGCTAGGGTATCATTTGCATGCTCGGCTATTACCAGGGTACTCTGAAATCGTAGCAATAAGGCCTAAAAAGAGGGAGAAAATGGAAAAGAATGTTACAATAGAAAATTTTTTTATTGACTGTTAAGCATGTATGCTTTAAAGAAAACTGTACACAACACTCAGTTACTCAGTTCTATAAATGTATTCCTACAATGCTTGCTCAACAGCAAAAATTGGGCTGTTGTATCTATCATTGTATTACCAATATTCATACCTAATAAGAACAAAAATGCAAATTAGTGTTCTACTGTTAGGAAATTTTTTAAATTAGTTCAAAACAATTTTCCCACTAACCTATGTTCAAGGAGAAGCTCAATATATGTAAATGTAAAATCCTTGAGCAGAAGATGTGACTATCAAAGTAGGAATCGCCAATCCCACTCACCTGTAGAAACACTGCTAAACACACACTATATCCAGAAATAATGGCTCTGAAATCTATTACTCACATTGATTTCTACTGCTTCAGTCAAAATACATTCAATATCAAAATAACTGATACTATAAACCTGTCTTTAAAACACAGCAATTCTCCTGGGGTTTCAACTATTCAAATATGCTTCCAAAATCAAAAAAAGTAGCTTGTAGGAAAGCTCATCAGAGCCAACCAATATCTAGCCATATCTACTGTAGACTATCAAGAGACCACCAATAGTCTGTGGTCATCTAGAATGACTTCAAACATCAGGACACAAAGATGAATGAGAATGGTCCCTCCAATCAAAAATGTCAAGGGAAATAAAGCTTGTTAACAAACAGCTATAAGACAGAATAATTTTTTAATTAACAAAGATATCCAAAGTGTTAGAGGATACAGATCATAAAGTAGACGATCAAAAGAAAGTTTAAATGTTCCTGTCATGTGAAAAAAAGCAGAAGGGCACCACAGGCAGGAGGAGAGAAGCAAATGTTGGCACTATCTTTGTGGGAAATGGCAGTGAGAAACAGATGATGATCAGATGGCATGGTAATGGGGCTTCATTCAGTGATAATATTCAGATCTGGAGTTGGAGTGAAAAGCATAATAAAAAACTGACCCAGAGTTGGAAATTTATAAGGAGGGTATGAATGAAGGGAAGGCAGGCACAGGTCTCTAATGGTGGTTAACATCTCATTTACAAAACACATTTCTTTTTATTTACTATATTGTAAACATCAATTGCTATATTTGAATATTCTTCAACTGTTTATGAGCATAGCGTATGAGCATACCAATTTAACCAGTCTCTGTAGCACTTCGATTATTAATAATTTATTATTATAAACAATGCAAAGACCATCCTTGTAACTAAATCTCTACACTCATCCTCAAGAAATGGGAGTTCCTTTTAGTCCAGAAAGACCCTTCTGGTTGAAAGCTGGCCACATTAGTTGTTCTGCTTCCAAAGAAGACTAAGCCAGATTCTTCTCAACTTTCAACAAGGTAGGGGCTCCTCATCCCTCAAACTTTCTACCGCTACCACTCACCCCTCTAGCTTGCTCTCCTCATGCTCCCCACTCTAGCTTGCCCCAAGTAGATCCCCCCAACCTTTCCTCAGCCCTCTAAAACCCCTCTGTCTTTAATGACCACAGTCCCAGAGCTAGGTGTCAGAGACTTCACGGCCTCCACGGGTAGAAATGGTGAGGCAAGAGGCACCCTGACTGGGGGGTGGAGAGAGGAAGAGGACAGCATAGGAGGATATGACTAAGGAAGGAGCCACCGCACTGGGTATCAGTGGATGCCATTTCATGTGTTTTTTTCCTCCCTTTTTGTTTATTCAAAGGGTTCGAGGAAGCGGGGTAAATGAGATTTTTGTTGTTGCCAAATCAAGTACCTGTTTTATGACTTTTTCTTTTCTAAAATAAAAACTTGCCTTCCTACAGGAAGGGCTGGAAAATCTTTATACACATTAAGGATTCTTTTAACAAATTCCCAAAATTAGAAGTTATAGATCAGGAGGTAGGCATGTTAAGCCTGACAATCCTGTTCTCCAAAGAAGTTAGAGCTAATCACAAAAATTCACAATTCCTGAGGTAGAATGAAAGTTTAGAAGACAAATGCCACACCTGTTCATTTTTTTGTCCCCTAATACAATGTTTTTTTTCTAATAAATATCTGTACAATTATATGGTACTTTTCTTTTTTAATCAGGAGAGCACAGTATCTTGTAAAGAACTTTGTAATTAGGACCCCAATGGCATAATTTATTATTTAAATCTCATTTCACAAGAATTGCTAGTAACAAACTATTTATTAACAATATATATCAGACAGTAAATTTATGTTTCACACATCATTTACTATAAAAAATATGAGATTTCCGTCAACATTTGGTGAATCAATCCAAGATCTCGTGGCATAAGGCCCATATTTCCTATAAATTATAGTTCTAGCAACAGATTATTTAGGTAGTTATCCTAAGGAATCCTCAAGCTTTTTACTGGGTTGGCCAAAAAGTTTGCTTAGTTTTTTCTGTACATCTCTAATAATGTGTAGTTGTCTTTAACCTCATTAAAAATTGTTTGGTAGATTGTATTGTAATAGCTATCATATCAGAGTGCATGTAAAAAAGCCTTACCATAATTGGTGAATTTTGAGGCAGCCACTTTAATACTGAAGATGGAAGAATACACACAACATTTTCAGCATATTATGCTTTATTATTTCAAGAAAGGTAAAAATGTTACTGAAACACACACACAAAAAGATTTGTGCAGTGAATGGAGAAGGTGCTGTGACTGGCCAAACATATCAAAAGTAGTTTGCAAAGTTTTTTGGCATTATTGATATTTTGGCCAAATAATTCTTTGCTGTGGGGCTGTCTTATCCATTGGAAGATATTTAGCAGCACCCAGGCCTCCATTCACTAGAAACCAATAGTGGAAGATAGCCAACATACTCAAAATATCCAAATCAATAGAGTTACTGAAAATGAAAAATGTCTTATTTTATGGATAAAAACCACATGGACTTTTTGGCCAATCCAACAGAACTTCTGGGGGGAATGTATGTATGTATGTATGTATGTATGAATATGCATATGTGTATGAGAGTGTATGTATATATATATCATCTTATTTAGAACTTACAAAAACTCTATGATGTAGGTAATATTATTACCCTGAATTTACAATGAAGAAATTGAAGTTTAGTGGCTACATAGCTAGGAAGCAGAGCCAGGTTAAAAGTCCAGGTTGTTGGATTCCAGATTTTGGGTTTTTAAGTACCACTCACATCAAAGTACCATCATTTTTAGCAGTTCTATATGGGTCAATCTTATAAGACAACACTTAGCAAATATTATCCTGACTTTTAAAAAATAGTACTGATCAAATAGAAGCAAAGATATGAAAAACTTCTTTTCCAGCTCAGAAAAATTTCATAAACCTAAAATCCCACTTTAAGTAGAAGAGCGATATAGAATACCGCTAAAGACTAAAAAAAAAAGTACAGGTCCATTACTGAAAAGGGTTTTTAAATAAAAGTCATGTTGTTATCTTACATACCATTCAGGTCCTCTGTTTCATGGAGAAAAGGAACTAAAGTCTTAAATATTTCAAGATTACTATGGAAACATTGAGGTAACTACCCAGAAAGAAATCCCAATGTCTTCAAAAACACTGCTACTTAAATCAAAATTAATTTATGCAGATTGTGTCGCTATACATTCTTGGTCCTTAGCCTTATCTGGGCCCTGAAAAGTACCTGGCCATGTTACCATGACAGAATTGTTGGCACTCTCCATAGCCACTACTGCTAGTACCCTGTTCTGATGTTTCTCAAACTGCTAAAACAGGCTGCTCCCTACTCTCAGAAGAGAGCCTCAATGCCTACTCCACAGTGAAAACTAAAGCCATCAGAAAGGACCTGCTTCCCCTTCCTGATATCCAACACATAAATTCCTGCCCTATCACAATGGAAGCTTTCTAAGCACTTCTGTGACCCTACCAAGAACAGTGCATAGATTTGTCAAATCACTAAAACACCTACCCATCATGATTTTAGAGAACTTATCTAGACTACTGGCTAGACTGAGCTCCAAACAGTAAAACACATACCAGGCACATACCCTTATTTAAGGTGATTGGCCTTTATGAGATAAAAGCATACCTCACTTTATTGCACATCACAGATACTGTGTATTTTTACAGATTGAAGGCAAGACTCTCTGCCAGCAACTGGCTTCACTGCACATCTCTGGAACTGAACTGACAATCTCTGAGACCTGCCTGTAGTATACTTCTTGAGGGCTGGGTTTAAAGGAGTTGTCCTCTTTCCACTTTCAGTGCCAAACTTCTTGAAAATAATGTTAACATGCACCAACTCTACTGCTCCACCCCTTTTTCTCCTTTACTCACAGTAAACCAATTGTCACTTCCACTGCAAAACCAAACCCAACCTCTTCAAAGTCACCAACAATCCATGTTATGGTTAAGTCCAGTTAACACATTTTGGTCCTCTTATAAATAAACCTTAACAGTTTTGATACTACTTTAGTTTCTCATTCTTTCAGAAGCAGCCAAGGAGATTTACTGCTCAGGAGTTCTGCTGAGGCTTTAACTGTATGCAGTAAACCACCAAAGGTGTAAGTCACCCCCCCTCAAAAAAAAAGGTAGAATCTAACTCCCTACTTTACCCATGTTGCTCATCATCTTTAAAAACTAAGTAGAGTAAGACTTCCGCCAAGATGGAGGCGTAGGTGGAAGCACTGTGCCTCCCACAACCAAGTTTTAAAAACAACAAAGTTTTAGCAACAAAAACGCAGCCAAAACCACAGAAAATTGAACTTCACGTAAGTCTGACAACAACAAACCCTTCAGCTAAACTGGTAAGAGGGGCAGAGCCAGCAACAGAGCGGGGTTGGGCAGGAAAGATCCACCGGACCTACACAGGCGTGCGACACAGGCGTGCGACCCAGGTGTGCCAGCAGTCATAGGTGGATCCCAGGTGTGGAGAAGCGGGTGGACTCACTGAGGGCGTGGGGCGGAGAACTCACTGAGGGCTGACCACGGTCACACATTTGCACGCAGATAAACCAGTGAAGGAGGGAGCAGTGAGAAAGACCATGTAGGCCCCAGTGGCAGGAAGTGGCAGAGGGGACCACCATTGTCCCTCTCTGACCCTGCCACCACCTACAGCGTCACAAACCAGCGACCTGGGTGGCCCCTCCCTGCTAAACAATTAAGGCTCCGCTCCTCATACCTAACAGGCATGAAAAGATCAAAACATGGCTCAAGAACACCTCAGAGCCCCAAAGCCGATAAATCTAAGCGATGAAGAAATAACCAAACTTTCAGATGCACAGTTCAAAACACTGGTGATCAGGATGCTCACAGAACTGGTTGATTTTAGTCACAAATTAGAGGAACATATGAAGGCTAAACTAATCGAAATGAATGGCAATGCACAGGAAACCAATAGTAATGGAAAGGAAACTGGGACTCAAATCAAAGGAGTGGACCAGAAGGAAGAAAAAAATGACCAAACAGAAAAGGATGAAGAAACAAGAATTCAAAAAAAATGAGGAGAGGCTTAGGAACCTCCAGGACATCTTTAAACGCTCCAACATCCGAATTATAGGGGTACCAGAAGGGGAAAAGGAACAGCCACGAGTGGAAAACTTATTTGAACAAATAATAAAGGAGAATTTCCCCAATCTGGCAAAGGAAATAGACTTCCAGGAAATCCAGGAAGCTCAGAGAGTCCCAAAGAAGTTGGACCCAAGAAGGAACACACCAAGGCACATCATAATTACATTACACAAGAATTAAAATGAAGGAGAGAATTCTAGAAGCAGCAAGAGAGAAGGGGACAGTCACCTACAAAGGAATTCCCATCAGACTGTCCGCTGATTTCTCAAAAGGGACCTTACAGGCAAGAAGGGGCTGGAAAGAAGTATTCCAAGTCATGAAATCCAAAGACCTACATCCAAGATTGCTCTACCCAGCAAAGCTTTCATTTAGAATGGAAGGGCAGATAAAGTGATTCTCAGATAAGGTCAAGTTCAAGGAGTTCATCATCACCGAGCCCTTATTATATGAAATGTTAAAGGGACTTACCTAAGAAAAAGAAGATAAAAAAGATGAACAGTGAAAGGACAGCAAACTCACAGTTATGAACAACCACACCTAAAACAAAAGCAAACTAAGAGGACAGCTAGATCAGAAGTGAACCATAGAAATGAAGATCACATGGAGGGTTAGCAACAGGGGAGTGGGAGGAGGAGAAGGGGGGAGAAGGTACAGAAAATAAGTAGCATAGGTGGTAGGTAGAAAATAGACGGGGAAGGGCAAGAATAGTATGGGAAATGTAGAATCTAAAGAACTTGAGACACGTGGTCATAAACTAAAGGGGGGAGAACGGTGGGGAAGGGGTGTGCAGGGTGGAGGGGAATGAAGGGGGGAATAGAACAACTGTAATGGCATAATCAATAAAATATATTTAAAGAAATAAAAAAAACTAAGTAGGGTAAGAATGGGGTGGGTGTGAGGGTCTTTTTGCTTCTTTACTCAAAAATTTAAGAGCAGGAATAACCTATGAAATATCTTCAAGTTCTAGCAAAAAAGATGAATATGTAATTAAAGTCACCTATTTTAACATACATTTTGTAATAAAATGTATATTTCTGTACTTAAATAACTTACTTTAAACTATATAGTGATAAAATATGGTAACTTTTAATGATGAGTAGAAATGACATTGAATATTAAAAACAGTCAATTTACTTCAATTTAAAAAACAGACAGGACCCTTAGTAGACACATTGGCAGGCGGCATAATTTTAAGAAACTCACCTCATGCAATAAATCTTTTAGAACCACATCTAAATTGGCTCGCTTTCTTCTTTCAAAAGAAATTAAAATTTGCATGTGAGTTCAATCTCATTCATCAACACTAAACCATGGACTCTGAAAAATGTCGTTCCTTCATACCAGCTTCACAGCTTCTGAATTATTATAGATAGGCCTTTCTGACAACCAACAGAGTAATAGGGACACTCAAATGACCTTGTGAAGTGTTGCTTCACTTTCCTCTCAGTGTGTTCTCTAGCTCTTTATTGGACGTGTAAAATACCACCTTCATTCATAGATGACATTGAGGAGCTCCCCCCAAAAATGAAGCACTTTGCTCAAAGACACAAACAACTAAAAACTGGAAATGAACTTAGATACCAAATGCAAGTCATTCAATTTACCTTCTAACAGTTCAAGGTGTTTCCTTTTTTTCCCTCAGTAATTGTGGTAAAAAACAAAATTTATCATACTAATCATTTTTAAATGTACAGTTTAGTAGTGTTAAATGTCAAGATGGAGGGTTTCAGATAAGCTTTTTTGACTTTAGAACATCATAAACATCAGTTAAAGAGGAGCCAAAGTGAAGGGACTCCCACTTTAGAAGTATGGGAAAACCTGAGCACCAAAAATTTTAGGAGTAATAATGGATTATAACCTACTAAATAAAATGAGGATCCATAAGTCCATATATAAATATATATAAATAGGCAAGAAGAAAATGTTCTTCCTTATAACAGAAGGCTAATAAATGCAGAAGGATGATAAAATCAGAAAAATCACCATTTCACATCACAGTAATCACTACTCAGGCGAGAATTATCAACCAGTGGACGAAAGACTAATGAGTTACACAGTCTCAATGTGTCTCCCCACACAGTTAACAATCAAGTGGAGAAACGTGATGAAGGACACTTTAGTCAACTAAAGTTACTGTCACCAAACACCCGAAACTAATCAAAATAATACTGAATGTAAATTGTAATTAAAAAATGAAATTTAAAAAAGCTTATAAAAAACCAGGCAGATAAAGACAACTACCAAAGTAATGATGATGATAATAATAACATCACCAATACTGTTAGTTCTACCAAATGAGTCCTGAATGCTCACCATCACAATTATTGATTTCACTTGTGACTGACTTCTAATCTGTCCACACAACTACCTTCCAATTACTGCACAGATGAGTACTTTTTGCGCGATCGGCTCTGATACCTGGAATTTGCCCAAATCCACGACTTGAACTTATCTGTCTAGATCCCCTGCCTGAAAAAAACAAAACAAACAAACAAACAAACAAACTCCTGGGGGTAAAGAATGAACACCAACCTGACGGAAGCAGGTTTGAACTTTGTGGAGGGAGGAGGGTGGGGGTTCGGGAGTTCTTTCTATGTAACAAGAAATACACAAGAAAAGGGCCTACAGATGCCTAGAAAGACCGCCAGCTACATGTCTCTGCATGAAAATCCCCTGGTGGATGGAAAAACAGGCATGCACAAAGTAAAATACTTCAGGAAAGTTTCTGAAGGGGACGCACGAGAAGCAACCATACAGGTGCAACCTGACCCAGGTGTAGCAATCCCGTTTTCGGGTAAACTAATTGTAAATTAGAAAAACCATGACGTAAATTGGTCCGTGACTTCTAATTCGTTGATTTCCCACGCTACGCGCGGCCCCACACCATTAGGACAAAAACTTGTTTTCCCTCAGTCTTTCTCACAGCAAGGTGGCGGACAGCAATGTGGTAAACTCCCCACCGGTCACGGATGAAAGCCCCGGAAACGCGCCGGCGCCCGGTCCCCAGGCACCAGCAGAGCGACCCACCGCGCGGACTTCACGCGCCGTCACCCCTGCGCGCGGCCCGCAGGCTCCAGAACCACCGCCCCCTTCGCCCCACACCTGCGACTGGACACCAGTGGCCACAACACCCCCAGTGAAAATGTCCAATTCTCCCACAAGCGTCGGCTTCCAGGCCGAATCCCGGCTTTCAACTCTCCCGGGGAGAGCCCGCCAGCGGCGATCGTCCCCTCCCCCGGGGACTCGACCGCCCGCCCCGCCACCTGTGGAGAACCCCGGGCGCCCGGAGAGGAGCAGGGCGCAGGCCTACGGTGCCCCCTGGGGTCACCGACCGCAGCCCTTGACCCCGGCCCCGCGCGGCCGCCCGGGACTTGTGGCCCCGAGGCCGGGAGGCGCGGGGCCTGCCAGCGCGAGGGCCGGTGCAGTCTGTGGGAGCCGGTGACCTTCGCAGACACCGGCACGGGACCGGCAGCTTGAGGGACCGCCCGCGAGCCCAGCCTAGCCCTCCTCTGCCAGGAGGTCTCACCGACTGCTGCAATCGCCTAGTTGCCGCCGCTCGGAACATGGTCACCGCTCCCGTTCGCCTCACGCAGCCTCGGCCTCACTGTAGCCGGACGCGCAGCAGGCGTCTCTACCTCAGTCAGTCACGGCAACGCTCGCGAGACGCGCAAACGAGAGCGGACGTTTCGGGCGTGCTGCACTAGCTCGCGGTTTTTTTGCCTGTCCATTGGGCTGTCGGGTAGCCAACGGGAACAGCGGAAAGTTAGGGGCGGAGCTTGGGAGTGGGGCAAAGGTGAGGCTATTCTTCGCGCAGCCAGCCCCGCCTCTGAGCTGATGACGTCACTACCCCGGTTCCCCGCCCTCTGGTGTCCACCCACATCGCTCCAAGAAGTCACGAGCTCTCCACCTATAGCAAAATTTCCAACTCCGGGGAATGTATCGCATCCGGGGAAAGTGCATAAGGTGTTGCACTTTGGGTGGCAAACACAATACGATATTACAGATGATGTATTACAGAACTGTACGGTTGTAACCTACATAGTTTTCTAACTAATGTAACCCCAATAAATTCAATTAAAAAAAAAGATGTTGACCTCACCAGAATCTGGAGAAAACATACAAGCAGACATAGTCCTATGAGCCGAGGGATTCACCGAATGGGTGGTATTTGAGTCGGGACCTTGTGAGCACAACCAGGGAAAGATGGAGGCGGGTAGGAGGTGCAAGGACAAGGAGCAGGCCTCTGTAATGCCGGGAGAAGGAGACATGGCTGGAGATGTGGCTGGAAGAGCAGATTTGGAAAGGTCTTGAATGGAGGCGTAACTCTAGGTCCCATGCTAGTAGCCCTTCTCTTATTCCTGGGCAACCCCACCCCCACCCCGACTTCTGCCTGTCTGGCCAAATCTGTTGCACCCATAAAACCACCTCCCCAGAATCTCCTCTGTGTTCCTAAACATTTCAAATTCACATGTCCACACATAAGTCCTTTCATTAAAAAAAAAATACATGATGCAAAAGAGCCAGTAATTTAACTGTTAATAATTACAAAGGTATGGTAATACATCTCACACACCAACCTCCACCCACCCGTTTTCAGGACTCCGTGAATGAGGTGTTGCTGCTTCACACTTTGGCTGAACAGGCTTAACAACCTTCAGTTCTCTCTGTAATCCGTAGACACGACTCAAATGCCCCACTTTCCAGAGCTGCTCCAGAATTTCTGCGCAAGCGTTTTGAGGACAGCAGTCTGGTTAGACGGGAGACCCAGGGATTTGTCTTGAAGCTCCATTTGCACAAAAGACCCACTTTTTAACTTAAAATTTGGAAGCTGCTAGAGATTGGACCCCAGAGTACCGCTTCTGGGTGGTCTCCCCCTCTGCTTCAACATAGGCCACATAGAAATGGAACTTTAGCCCTGGCTAATGTAGCTCAGTGGATTGAGCGCGGGCCTGCGAACCAGACAATGGCGGTTCGATTCCCAGTCAGGGCACATACAGGGGTTGCAGGCCAGTTCCCTGCAGGCCAGTTCCTAGGAGGGAAGGCATGAAAGGCAACCATACATTGATGTTTCTCTCCCTCTCTCCTTCCCTTCCTCTCTAAAGATAAATAAATAAAAAATCTTTAAAAAAAAGAAATGGGACTTTATTATTTTTAAATGTTTTTATATTTCTTATTTATTATAACTTTTTAAAATTCTCACCTGAGGACATTTGTCATTTCTTTAGAGAGAGAGGAAAGGGAGGGTGGGAAGGAGTGGAAGAGAGAGAGAAAGACTGACATTGATGTGAGAAGGAAACATTGATTGGTTGCCTCCAGTAGGTGCCCCAACCGAGGATTGAACCTGCAACACTTTGTTACTCGGGTGGAAGCTCCAGCCAGCCACATCGGCAGTGTGGGCCCATATTCTTAGAACTGGCTTCATATTTTCAAGGATTGCCTGTGTTCTCAAGAAGAAATTACTTTGCTGCAGCATTCTGCCTTTCTGAATAGAGCACATGAAAACAGACCAACCTTCTTAGCTATGTCTACCAACAGGACTTCTTTCTTTGTGCCAAGAATATCTGCAGATGACTTTAATGGTGCCTCTCGCAGATTCTCCTTTCAACTTATCTGTTCCTTCCCATGTGTTGTCATTTCTCTGTTTGAAAATCATGACCGTAAAACCTCGAACATTTATGGGTTATGCAAACAGCTTCCCTTGGTATATTTTTAATAATCTCTGCTTTTATTTTTACCAGATGTTGAAATCCCAAATGATAACAGAGTGAGAAACTCTAAGGGTAAGATTATTTGAGCAGGAAAATGTGATGTTTTTGTTCGGAGATAGCAGGTGTTTGAGCTGGGTTTGTTTCAATTTTTTTCTACTTTTATCTGAGATGTCTTAAAGAAATTCCTTAATTTCGCTGATCTTCTGTGTCTTCATTAGTCAGAGTACTGCTAGTGCCTTCCTTATTAGGGATTTGGTGACAAATGTGAGAAATTATATGTTGTATCAGTCATATATTGCTGTGTAACAAATTACTCCCATAATGTAGCAGCTTGAAACAATATTTATTATCTCACCCTGTTTCTGAGAGGTAAGAATCGTGGTATGGCCTAGCTGGGTGGTTCTGTCTCAGAGTCTTTCCCAACTGCAAACTATCAGCCACAGCTGTGGTCTCTGGATACTTGAGTGGGATTGAGGATCAGCGTCCAAGCTCACCCCTGTGGCGGGAGAGTTCCGTTCCGCCCCATGGAACCTGTCCAGATGGCTTCTCCCAAAGGGCATGATCACAGAAACCAACACAAAGAGACATAAGCTGCAGCCTTTTATATCCTAAGTTCCGTGGTGACATGTCATCATGACTGCTATATTCTACTGGTCACACTAACCACTGCTGGTACAATGTGGGAGAGGACTACACAAGGTTGAAAATAACAGGAGGCAGGGAAAATTCAAAGCTGTCTTGGAGGTTGGCTGCCACCTATGTATAAAGCACCCAGCAGGAACACCTGGACACCACTAATGCTACAGCCATTTATTGAGCACTTAGTGTATGCAGGCCCTCTTTTAGGCCCAGAAAATATAAAATAGACAGTCCTTGCTCATAATGGCTTTCAATCTAGAAGCCCATAGTAGGTGCTCAAAAAATATGTTTCCCATAGGCAGTAACATCTCTGATGTTTCTCTTAGCAATATTTTTTCTGACCTATCTGCTCCGGCAAGGGGAAAAAAAAAAAAAGAAATGGGACTACATCAAATTAAAAAGGGTTTGCATGCAAAGGAAACCATCAACAAAACAAAAAGACAACCTACTGAATGGAAGAAATTTGCCAATGATACATCCAATAAAGGGTTAATATCCAAAATTTATAAAGAACTCACACAACTTAACATCAAACAACAAATAAACCAATTAAAAATGGACATAGGACCTGAATAGATACTTCTCCAAAGAGGACATACAGATGGCCAATAGACTTATGAAAAGATGCTCAATATCACTAATCATCTAAGAAATGCAAATTAAAATCACCATGAGATATCACCTCACCCCTTTCGGAATGCCTGTCAACTATAAACCAGGAAACAACAAGTGCTGGCGAGGATGCGGAGAAAAGGGAGCCCTCCTGCACTATCGGCGGGAATGCAGACTGGTGCAGACACTGTGGGAAACAGCACAGAGGGTCCTCGAAAAATTTAAACTAGAACTGCGTCATGACCCAGTGATTCCAATTCTGGGTATGTATCCAAAGAAATCCAAAACACTAATTTGGAAGAATGCAGGCATCCCCTCAGTTCATTGCAATGTTATTTACAATAGACAAGACGTGAAAGCCACCCAAGTGCCCAGGAAAAAAATCAGTGGATAAAAAAGTTGTGTACATTCATACAATGGAATAGTATGAGGCCATAAAAAAGAATGAAATCTTACCATTTATGGCAGCACGGATGGACCTAGAGAGTATTACGTTAAGTGAAATAAGTCAGGAGAAGACAAATACCATGTTTTCACTTATATGTGGAATCTAAAGAACAAAATAAAAAACCAAAATTGAAACACACTTGTAGATACAGGTTGCCAGAGGAGAGGGCGGCTGGGGAGATGGGTGAAAGGGTGAAGGAATTGATAAGTATAGATTGGTTGCTACAAAACTCTCATGGGGACGTAAAGTATAGCACAGGGAATATAGTCAATAATACTGCAATAACCATGTACGGTGCCAGGTGGGCACTAGAAATATCAGGGGATCACTCTGTAAAGTATATGATTGGTCTAACCATTATGCTGTGCACCTGAAACTAATAGACGATAATCATGAATATAAACTTTGATTGAAAAATAGTTACAAGACATTTCACGGTTTAAAAAATATATATATATATATATGCTTTCTCCCCAAGAGAAAGAAAGAAACAAACAAAAAAACTTCATAAAAGAAGCCCCTGCTAATCAGAGATACAGACAAACTCCAGGAAGTTCACACTTGGGAAAGTAGGCAAACCCTCTCAAAATGTGACAGGTACAAGTTGGGACATTCCTTTGCAATTTTTAGTTTAGAGGATGAGAACTGACGAAGCAAATCAATGGTAGCCACAGTCAAGCAAAGGGAATTTTTTTTCAAAAGTATTCTTTCAGAGCTCGGCTGCATCTACAGGCACGCTGACGAATAAGGCTCTGAAGTCCTGGGCCCTTCTCTCTGTGTGAAAGTGACTAAGACAGAAACTTTATTTCCATTGACTCATCCGATTTTGCTGGTTTTTAAAATGATGCACGTACAACAACATGTCAGGTGACCTTGAGTTTGACATCTTCTACAACACACTCTGACCTTCTCCTGGTTTGTCCCAATTAGTGACATTTTACTCTCCTGATACTTGTGTTAAAATATTAATATTTCAGGCTCTTAGAGGAGACATATATGATTCATGGGATTAATGGCAAAGGAACTTGCCTACATTATCAAATTAACCTTGCATGTCACTAGCCTGCATAATGCTGAAGTGAAGCTGGAGATTTACACATAAATATTGAAGTCTTATTCTGAGCCTAATAAAACATGCTTATCTTCACAAGTACCCACAGTCAGAAATGGACACTAGGACTTTCACTGGCGCAGGTGCCCAAGAGACAGCGACTGAGGCCCCACTGAGTGGCTGTCCTTCCCTCTAAGGCCCTCGACCAGCCTTTT